TTATATATATATATATATATATATATATATAAAAGAAAAGACTTCCCAATGTTTATAGGTGAAAATGAATAATGATTTTTCACCGTTCAAAGTTCATCGTACGATCACGATTGTTTGATAGTGTTTTAATTTTTAATTTTTTTTTTATAAATCGGAATGATCTGAAATTTGGAGCGTATGTACATCTTAGTGATACACACCTAAAAAAAATATTTCACAAAATTTTTAGAGGTATTTTGGTCAATTTATATTTTGTGAATTATTTTTTTATATTTTTATTAGATTATCTTATTTTTGATGAATACGCGCTTCAAATTTCAGATCATTACGATTTGTAAAAAAAAAAATGAAAAATGAAACACTACCGAACAATTGTGATCGTGCGATGAACTTTAGACGGTGATGAGTATAGACAAAATCACTGTTCATTTTCACCTATTGCATAGTATTTTCATATAAATATATATATGAAAAAGTTTATATAAGGTTGCAACTTTAAAATGTAGAATTATAAATGCACCTCAAAAATCCATCGGAAAAGGTTGTTTTAATGCATCTCGACAACGAGAAGAATGAATATGAAAAAATAATAATTTTGAGTCCGAGAAATAGTGCATCTTGCAACGCATTATCTAGACTATCTATTTTCAAGATTTTCATATATTTATAGATCTACTTGATTTTAACCATTTTTGGAGTTTAAAATTTTATAATTAGATAAGAAAATAGATTTTGAGATAATCCTAAGAATTTTTTATACCAAAATTACATGTTATGATAAAATTTGGAGGTGCACTTTAATTGGATTGTTTAAGGTTGCAACCTTATAGAAACCACACCGATATATATATATATATATATATATGAAGGCACTAGCTTAGAGGTACAGTTCTAGTTTCGTTTTAGATCATGAACTGCATTTATGAAACTTATTATAACAATCTCTAGCTTGAATTAGCAGTCAACCAAGTTATGGGTTTTCTCTTTTTACTGAAAGTGGGCCTCTTGAGTAATTCTTTTGTCAAAACAAAAAGACATTTGTCTATTTTGATCTAGGAATCTAATTTTTTTTAACATAATTATGTTTAGTGTTTATGAGTGCTGAGTTTTTGGCCTATATCGGATGGCTCATATTCAATCCTATCATGATGAACGTCCAGCATGTGTCGTTGTTGTTTCTGTTTAATATTTTTATTAATCAAATTTGCCAGAAATTGTAGAGAGATGCATTGGAGTATGGGCCATAAAAAATATTTTAAAAATCATATGCTCAAAAAATGAACAAAGTTGTCACCACTCTCCGTGAACATGGAATTTGGGCTGGCCCTAAAATCCACACGTGTGAGAAAGGTAGGCATAAGTCCATTAGTTAGTGGAACAGTCGGGCCTAAAATCCATACACGTGTGAGAAAGGTAGGCATAAGTCCACTAGTTAATGGTACAGTCCGGGATGGTTCAATGATCACGACTATATTTTATATTTTAATTTTAATTTTATAAATCTAAATGATTTTGAAATTTGAAGCGTCTTATTAAAAAATAGGTGAATATATTAAAATATTAAAAACATTATTTACAAAATTTAAATGGATCAAAATACCCACGAAAAAATTTAGGGGTATTTTGATTAATTTAAATATTGTGAATATTTTTTTTACTATTTTAATTAGATGAGCATCGATGAGAAGAGTTGACGCTCCAAATTTCATTTGGATTTGTAGAAAAAAAATTAAAATTAAAATACAAATACATTCGTGTCCGTGAATCAGCCTAGATTCAATCTAACCTATTTGGCTCACACTGTTCTATCAACTAGTATATAAGTAGCATTTC